TTCAGGATTAAGGAAATACATGCACCCTTGGCCCCTCATTTCTGGAGCCAAAGGTTTTGTGGGTGACTCTGGAGAATGAGCCGGAGAAGCAGCATTTAATGAAACCTTCTTTGGCTTACACCGGACCTTTGCATAGAGTTAATAACTGGCTTGCCTTACGTTGGTGCCAATGATTTTATCAACCAGAAAGGAAGACAACAGAATATGCACCAAAGGAGAAAAAAATGGAGCCCAGGAGTTTAGAGTGCTATTAAGAGGAGGGGTTCGCTTTGACTGTCTGGGGAGGAGAACATCTGGAAGCTTCTCCCACTCCTTGCTGGTTTTTCTCTGCCCTCCCCCCTCCAATGGGTCTAAGCATATGGGTGCTGCAATTGTTAAAGACGCCAACTGTAATGGTAAGGGAGGCACGCCAATGACCCGCAGTAGAAGGAACTGCCGGATATAAGGCAGGTAACTCTAGGGTAGAAATGCAGGTGGAACAATAAGCTCAGAGGAAACTCTAGTTTTTGGCAAAAACTGACCAGGAAGGAAAGTATTTCAGGTCTGCAAGAATGATTTCAACTTTAGGGTTTAGACCAGATAAGAAATACAGTAGAACCTCTGGTCACAACCATAATTCATTCCATAATTTTGGCCGCAAACCGATTTGGTCATGACCTAAACCTAATTTTGGAAATTTGGCGCTTACAAAAAAATTAAGGAGGAAGGGGAGATCAACCGTGAAAAATAAAATTTGTGCATTTTTTATCAGAACTCGATTTGGTCGTGGTCAGAAGTGTTCGTGACCAGAGGTTCTACTGTATGAGCAGATGAGTGAATTGTACATTATTGTAAGATTACATTAACGCAGTCTTGAAGACCGAAAGTACTTCAGTTTACTTCAGAGAGGAAATGAACATTAGAAAGAAAGTGATTTTTCCTTTAGTGTCTTGGAGGCAAGAAGGAGGGAAGGGCTGAAATAATAATCAGGCTTCCATGATTTGTAGGCAGGAGGGACAAGTGGGAAGACATGATATTTTTCACTTTCAATTTATTTCAAAAGTCACCTTTCCCACCTCCCCCGTTTTTTGTTCTTTTTAAAATTGATTATGTGCTATCATCTATTTTTCATCTTCTAGTGATCACATAGATAGATCTTCACCTTGACAATCTAAACCCAAACCATTTTTTCAAGACTCTTAATGGCGCACTCATTGCCACTGTAAGTGAGCCTATCCCAACTTCTTCTCTCCCCTTCCACTTTTCCCATCATCAGAACCTTCTGCAAAGAGCTGGGTCTTCTCATCATGTGTCCAAAGGAAGATAATTTGAGCCTCCATGAAAACTCTGGGTTGATTCATTTAATGGTCTTTGGGTCCATGGTATTCTCTGGGGTCTTCTCCAACCTTAAAATTCACAGTGCCAGTCAAAGCTGAGAAGAATCCCAATGTCTCTTTTCCTTTCCAGATAATCTGCACAGAAGAAAGAGCAACTATGGGCAATGTAATTACAAGGGATTATCTCTGGGAACAATTAGAAGAATTCAGGAGAGATTTGAGACAAGGCAAAGTTCACGAAATGGCATCGGACTTCAAACAACATTTAAACGAAATGCAAAATCTTCCCCTTAATATTGCAGTAACTGGAGAGGCAGGTGTTGGTAAATCCTCCTTTGTCAATGCCATCCGGAGTGTAATGGATGATGATGAAGAGGCAGCCGAGGTGGGGATAAGAGAACAAACCACACAGCCAAAGGCATATCCCCACCCTTCTATTCCCAATATCCAAATATGGGACCTTCCAGGGATCGGAACACCTAGGTTTAAAGCAGCAGAATATGTGCAGAAAGTCCAATTTGAAAGATACGGTGCCTTTATTATGGTTACATCTCATCACTTTACTGCAAATGATGATTTCCTGATAAAGGAAATACAAAGAACGAGGAAGAAGTTTTACTGTGTGTATACAAAAATAGATGCCAAAACCCACAGTGAAAAGATGAAAATGAATTTCAATATGGAGAAAACCCTGGCAATTATAAGGAAACGTTGTGAAGATCATTTGAGAAGGGCAAGTGGACTTTACACACGAGTATTTCTCATCTCCAGCTGGAAGACAGACAAGTATGATTTCCCTCTCCTGAGAGAGACAATGGCTGCTGAACTCCCTTACTACAAGAAGCATATTTCAACAAAGGCTGCGCAGCTCTTCTCAGAAGGTGAACTGAGGATGAAAAAAGATGAAATAATATCATATATAAAAAAGGTGGCATTGCTGTCTTGTGCTTGTGGAGTGATGCCTGTTCCAGGTCTCTCTATGCTTTGTGATATTCCAATATTGCTGGATGCTCTGAAATGTATTTGCAATGCATTTGGTCTAGATGAACATTCACTTTATGTTTTGGCAATTCACACCGGAAAAGAATTGGAAGAGTTGAAGTCGGCTATCAAGAAAACCCCATTAGCCAACACAATAAACTTAGAATTGTTATTTTTTCGATTGAAGAATTCATCTCTCTGGGTAAATGTGTCAATTGTGGAAGTGGCTCTTAATTTTATGCCTCTCATTGGGTCTGTGTTTGGTGGAATGAGTTCATTTGCTGTCACATATCACTTTCTGAACACGTTTCTTGATGGTGTTATGGAAGACGCCCGAAATCTTCAAACAATGTTTCTTGAGTGATCAGAATCCCAAGGAAAGGTCCCAAGCACCCCCAAACCCAAGCATTTCCGCCAAATGAAAGCATGGGGAGGAAAATAATAATATGCTTCAAAGCCACAGTCGAGTTACCTATTTGCTTGCTTGTTTTAATAATTCTTCAAGTATGTGCTTGATCATACGGCCAAATATGTAGCCCTTTCTGCAGATGTTTCTATGGGAAATAGGAGATTTTATATATGTATATATATATATATATATATATATATATATATA